CAGTTGAGGAAAAAATTTGGTTAGGCATACAACACACTGAACGGTTGCGAAAGCAGTAACAACGACCTCAGAGAACTATGTCCGTATAACTTCACCAAGAAAACAATGCGCATTATAGAAATACTAGGTCACATCGTGTTCAGTTTTACACGAAACGTGACAGAGAATTACAACCCAGAATCACCTGAATTCACTATAGAGGCTTTTGGCTACGATCCTCTACAGAGCACAGGTCTGGAATGGAATTACTTTCCAGTTGATGAATTAATTTATCAAGAACATGACGACAAAGGAGTCACAGGCCCCGATTATTTCGTAGCTGGCAGTGTTAGTCTCAGTACAACTTTCACTGAAATTTTCAGATTTGTATTAGTTTTACCAATACATAATCTTTCCGTTTAAATTTTTCATTTTGCTTGGTTCATTTGTACTCTCTCGGGTCTTTTAGCTATTGAATAAACCAGTTGAGTTTTTCTGTATTTGAGAATGGAACTAAACTAACACTCTAGAGAAATACTTTTAACTCTGATGGTATATTCATTAATGTAAAGGGAGTCACTGCTATGTTAAATTACCTTCGCTTCTGATAGACTAAGTGATCATAAAAGACACTCAAAGTGACAAGTGTCCATAAAAAGTGAGAATCTGTCAGTCATCCAGCTGTTAAAGATATATAAAACAAATATTTGGAATTTTACTTTCCAATAGTATTCATTCGATTTCAGTATCTTCTCTCCATCAAATTTTGGCTATTGGTGGAAACGGTAACTACGACCGTACACCAAACTAGTTAACTTAAAAAAAGCAGGACACTGATAAAGGTGTTTCTGGTCACATTGTGTTCAGTTTCACACGAGACGTGTCCGAGCATTGTTTTTCGAAATGCCCCCTCCACAGGCAACACAAAGACGCTTGCTCCTCACACAATGAACTTTCGATACCTTCGAGCAATGCCCACTTTTACAGCGTAACAAATAACGGCTGAACGTGGATATAATTCTTGGCTCCTCCTAATTCGCTAGTTATGGGCGTAATCCCATAACTAGCGAATAACACACCTAACTTACGTTTCAGCCGGTGCCTTAGTCAGGATTGAAAAGACTTTTGTTTTCGTTCCACGCGATTTCAATTGTTATGCATATTAGTGAAAAAAATTTGGCTCGATGGAAAAGTCTTAAATATTTCGGCAGCCACAACTTTTTCGAATACCGTTTCCAGGATTTACCTATTCACACGGAATTATCTTAAAGCAAAAAAATGAGCGGCAGAACACTGATAGAGGTGTTTGGCCACATCGTGTTCAGTTTTACCCAAGGAGTAGCAGATCATTATAATCCACAAGAACCTGAATTCACAGAAGATTCCTTGGGCTACGATCCTTTACAAAGTACAGGTCTAGAGTGGAACCATCATCCTGTTGATGAGCTTATTTATCAGGAATATAGCGACAAGGAAGTCAGAACCTCTGAATTTCTCACGAGCAGTCGCCATCAAATAAGGGTTATAAATGCATGTTCACCGGAGGAAATCGAAGAAACACAAGAAAGCGGACAAGATGAAGACATTGCAATGTCTTGGAAGCAACTCAGACCATCCGCTCTCTGCACAGTTTTGAAATCAATGTACATTGGAGCTTTGATTTCTCTGCTAACAGCGGCCGTCATCGGCTTACTTTACATGTTTATCTCATATCTATGTTACAAAACCGTACACAATTGTGAATTTTACTCCCCAAAAATTCCAGTCTCAGTGCAGTGGGTGAGAACTTTGTCCGCAATAATTTCATGTGCTTTTCTTTACATGTGGAGCTTTGTAAGAATGTTGTTTCTCTTTCGGCCGTATCAGCTACTAGGAGTGAAAAAAGAACTAGTTCTGGTTTCCCTTCTTGTTTATGTTTTCGATGCAATCTATCGCGTGGCTCTACAATCTTTGGGAATATCTCATTCCAGACTCTCCGTATTACAAAAGATTCCACTGAATACTTTGTTTCTTATCAGCATATGCTTGCAAGTTTATCTCTTAACAAAACACTTCTGCTTTCCATCAAGGAGAATCAGAATGACTCTATTTTTACAAATGATAATGCCAGGCTGTTTTTGTTTCGTATTAGCGATTGTCGTAGCCACTTTCATTTATCCTCTGTTCAACAAACAAACCAAAGAGGGAAAACTACTGATAGCACTCTTTACACCTCTCATTGGGGTTGCACTTAAGATCATTTCGCGAATTTGCGTACAACGATTATGGAACATCACACATCCAGGATACTCCTATGTATTACTGTCGCCGTTGTATCTTGGCACAGCCGTCATGCTACGCGTTTTGCAAGCTGATCTCGAGAGCCTACGATCCATGGCCATCCTTGGAATAATTCACGGTGCAGCAGAAGTCTTCGAACGAAGCACCATGGTTGTCATCGATCATGTTTGTCATAGTATTTTGAAAAGAAAATCAGCTCCTTGGGGAAGTTTTCGTACGCCTCGCCGTGAGAGACTAATGGCAGATCTTAACATCATGAGCATGTTGTATGAATCAACTGCTATAGTGTCTGTTAACGGATTTTTGTACTTATATAAATTTGTCTATTTAGAACACGTTTCTGTTCTAGGATTGCTGCAGTCTTTTACCGTTCATACTTCAGTTCAGCTTGTGATTGAGTGGTTTTTTACAAGCGCATCACTGGCGATCTCGACTCACTATCAAAATATGGCAGTCATGGCTGTTTGGCGAAAAAGATGGAGAAGACACACCCTAGTGGCCATAATAAATGCTGTTCCTTTGGCTATGTGGACCAGCACAAACCTTCTAATCATTGTACATGGACGTTTTCACGAGTCCTTGTATCAACCGTGCAAAATGCCGTTGATCTAGCCGGGCGTGGTCACAAAATTCATTCCCTGGGCGACCCAGTAAACGTTTTGACGCCATCCGCGCCGCCACTTCCGCGCTGACTCAGAGGAATGAGCGCGAAGCGCCAGCGGCGAATGATGAGTGCGAAGCACGAAGGACTATAGGCTGCCCAGCTTTTATTACTATCGTGCTAAGACAAAGGTTGTCTGACCACGCACTCCTTTCCTCCTTTGCGCACCCAGAGGGATGTCTGAGTACGAGGCAGATTCTGACTTCTGTAGCTGAGAAGTTCAGAAAGGAATCAAATACATTTGCTGACGTTTTGATTTACCTATGAGCCCTAAAATTCAAGTGAGCCTACCAATTGTCCTCTATTGGATAAATCACGGTCACATAGCTGATAAAGTTAAGAAACATCGATCGATCAACAAAAGCCAAAATATTAAAATCCTTGCGTGACTCAATATGTTATGTGAGACATACTTTCAGATTAAAATATTAACATTTAAGACCGAGATATTTCGCCAAATGATACCACCGTTGCAGTTGTAACAAACAGCGTAACAAAGGAGCGGGAAACTATAATTTTTCAGTCTCTCCAGTGGCAGTCGGGGAAGCTTTAATCGTGAGCCAATTAGAACAAATTACACCAAAATATACCTTTGAGGTATTTCGTTTTAATACTGGGATTTTGAGATAATGAGCATAAAATTATAAGCAAATACTTTTTAAACATTAACGCACTTGACTCGCTGCCTGAGCTCGTCAACTTTTAAACAAATAAATAAGTAAATAAATTAAAGCTCCCCCTAAGGGGCTTTTCAGCCACAATGTAGACTTAGTGCTTAAAAATCCCCACTGGCATGAGGCAGACCAGTGGGCCATTTACAGAGCGCAGCCAAGGAGTTAAACTCCATAATTTATCTTGGTGTTACCTTAACGAAGGACTTAGAATGGTCTGAACATATTTCCGACATCACTGGAAATGCGAACAAAGTGCTTGGATTGGTTAAACGAAATTTTTGGAACAGTTCTCGTAATGTCAAAGAAACTCTCTACAAATCAAGTGTTCGTCCAAAGTTGGAATACGCGAGCGAAATCTGGGATCCATATTACAAGAAGGACACCTATGCTGTTGAGATGATTCAGAGGAAAGCCGCTAGATTTTGCATGAATAATTATCGCCGTGAAAGCAGTGTAACAGAACTTATTGAAACACGCGGATGGGAGTCATTGCAATTAAGACGTAAACAGGCTAGATTATCTCTTATGTGCAAACTAAGTAACAACCTAATAGACATCAACCTTGAACTAGGGGCAACCAAGAATAAATCCAGTGAATGGCAGGGTGACGGACTTGAACCTGGGACACCGGATGACAAGTCCAGCACCCTAACCACTCGGCCTTGCCGCCTCCTGATTTTTCTCACTGATAGGATGCAACCATGATCAAATGCATGTGTACACTGTGCCTATCTGGAAAGTGTCACCTGTTATGTGCTTTGAGAAAATTTCTTGACTTTATTGCTTGTCTATGTGTTTTCCATGTTTTTTCATTGAAAGCATCCCAATTTTAGTTTACAACACGTTTACTTCTAGCAGTTGCACTTATTTGAAAAATGTATGGATGTATTTGCAGGTAAAATAGAAAGAGAGAAAATAAGAACCTGTTCTTACTCATTAAATGCTATCCCTGACTGATCAAAAGTTGTTTCATTATCTGTTCATTTATTTGCTCTCTCTCAAAAGTAATTTCTTTACATTAATATGTGTTTGTCCACATTGTCTCACTCCATTTTATTGCAGTTCTACAGTGGAGTGTAAGGATTCATTTGCTAGGAATCCATTTGTTTATGCTAAATCCCTTTGTTTGCCATGTTCTTCCTGTAGGTGTGACATGAGATTACGACCCTGGCACAATGCTTGGTAGAAACTTTGAATCTCAGCAAATGATGATTCAATATGGGTCAGGACAGTAAGCTAGGAATAGATGATGTTTGAAATATGCATAAATGGGGAGGTATTTCAAAAACTTAAAATTCTTTTTAGAAATAAATTTCCACCACTTTTTTAGGGACAACCAGGCAAGTTTTTTTTTTACTCAACAGGTTATTAATTATCTCATAATCAGGGATTTGAAAGATCTGAGGGGACAAGGAGCTTGTTGGTTAACTTCAAGAATAGTGTTACCAATGTACAAGGTTGCTTATAAAGTAAGATGTTTGAATATTTAAGTAAATACTGAGTTTCACTCTCTCCAAAGATTATATATAATTCAATATTACCAATTCTACTGAATGAAAAAGCACCAAAACTGTCCATTGGAAGTGTTAAATTATGTTAACTTCTGTTATACATAAAAAAATTTAAAGACACATTCAAAGTCAAATGAACACATGTCATTAATTTGATAAAAACCAGACATAGGATTATGAATACAATAAAAATTGTAATGATTGGGAAAAATCTGAATCAATATAGTATAACAAAAGTTGAATTTCAATGGCAAAAAAAAAAATTGTACCAACCAATTGACCATCTGCAAGTGAAAAGTTCTTTATCCATGTCATGTTCTCCAGCAGAGTTGGAAAGTTAGCTAAATTAGATGCTATCATGGGCAGAACCTCGGCTGTGTTCCTGAAATAAACAATTAGTAATATTGAGCATGAGACATTGAATAAATAAAATGAATGGTGAAAAGAACACAGTGAATCTTTGGAGCTTGTAGCAAAAATCTAAGCAGGCCATCAAATTTGACAAGACCTCACAGGAGTCTAGGTAAGTCTAAAAGTTAAAGGGCAAACTTCAAACAATTGAAGCCTAGAAGATTCTCATTTGCACACAAAGTTGTTTCTTGATTGTCTCTTAAATTTTGATCCTCTGCTTTAACCACATTGAAGCCTTTCCTGAAGAATTTCCTGAATCACTTCTGAAAAATCCAAAAGTACCTGAGCAAATACAAAGGTTCTCTGAATTCTTACTTGTGATGTGCAGCGTCTATTTCCAGGTATTCTCCAACAAAAGGTTGCTGCAGTCTTGAGATAAGCTCATCCTTTGTCCCAATAATCACAGACAACTGATTGGACAACTGTTCTAACTGTTGACACTTACTTCCTGCACATTCAACAAAAGAATAAACAATTATAAAGCAAAGGAAGCATTCACAATACACATGGAGTTTTTGTCAAAAAGCCTTGCAAGAACCTTTGAGCTTATCTCGCATATGGTGTAATTTTAATGACCATAATTAGAAAATCGATTTTACAAGTACTGGTCAAAATAAACTTACCAAGTATGTCAACATGGGTTACATCCCTTGTTTCAGCTTCCTTTAAATGGCATTGAATTTCAAGATTTACCTAAAATTTAAGTGACGTACATTTAAGGGAGAAGCAAACAACTGACACCATTCTAACTTTGAAGGTTTAACCCCTTAACTTGCAAAATCTGATGATTAATTCTCCCCTCAAGCTGCTACATACTTCCTGGTAAATTACATGCAAGAATTTGATGTTAAAACTGTAGATCAAGATAGCAACTTCTACCTGATAGGTTTGAGTATCCTCATCACCTTCTTGCTGGATAATGGATGGATATTATAGGGAGAAGTTACGTGTTAATCACCTCTAGGAGTTTAAGGGCTCAGGACACATCTGGTTGTGAGTTCCACATGATATAAAGACAGGTCAAAGCAACAAGTTGCTTTGTACAGTAGCTAGTTGGAACCAAGGATTAAGACATGATCATGCAGTCTATTAATACAACTGAGAGAAGTCCTGAAAAGGACCGTTGTAGGGGAAATTAGTAGTAAAATTACCTTGTCTAAGGCTTTGCCAAGTCTTGAGATTTCTCTCAGCAATCTAATTAAAGATACTGAAGGAGATGTCATCGCAACTTTTCTACGAATTCCTTCGATGTTCACATTTTTCTGCTCATAAAATAGAGAGCAAAATAAATCAAAACGATTAGTTAAACTTAAAATTTTCATAGGCAGCTTCAATTAAAAGCAAACAACAAAATGAAAAGGTTTATCCATTCCTGTGACAATTAAGCCAATAGCGTTTGAAAATAGTAAATTTCTTCTCTTTCCTGTTATTTGTGGCCATTAAATATTTGTTTTAATTTATATGGTAATGTGGAAATTAGGTTAACAAGTGAGCTTCTTTAGATTGTTAATTAAAAGTAATTTCGGTTACCCTATCAATATGACCAGTCTTTTCCGCAAAATTCACAATATTTTGCAAGGAACCAACGTTTATGTACGTCGAAGACGGTGACCATGGGTTGGAAGTATCCTCTACGAAGGAAGAACGAAACATTGCCTTCTGAATTCCAATCAATATTCACATACATGTCTTCAGAAAAAAAGATGGTGGGTTTAGTTTGGAACTCCCGCCTAATGCGCGAAAAAATGATAAGCAGGGTGGGGAGGTGGGGGGAACACTTAGTTTTAAGTAGGAATCATCAGATTTCTTCAAAAAAACATAATGTGAAATTCCCAAACATTATTCTAAAGTAATGGATAGGAGTTCCCACGTAGCCTCTATAATTCAGATTTTTTATTTGAACATATGAAAAATCGGCATAGAAGTTCATACTCATCCTGTCACAGAAAGTAGACTACTTGTATTTTGCAAACGAGGCAAGAAAATAAACATGGCGGTGTCCTGTGCTACGATTAGGATATATCTGTAATAAGACGAGGAATAAACCAATGTTTCTTCGATTATCTGTGACAAGGTAGCAATATGTGAGCGCTACAATTTTGGACTTCACTTTGCAGATAAACAATGAAACGGCTGTGGGCTGTTATGAAACATATGAAGTTTCCCGGAAAGTGGGCAAAACAGCTGAAAACATGACTTCGCTTGAGCTGGAAAACCGCCGTCTTTCAGATGCATTTCATTCCTCATTACCTTCAGAACTGTGGTTGGCCATTTTAAAGAACTTAAATCCTGTTTGCGACGATCTCTTATCTCTAAGCTTAGTATGTAAGAAGTGGCGAGAAATCATATTTGCTAACCCTGATCCTGCACTTTGGCAAAACATTACACTGGTGAATTTCAGAAACTGCAGCCACGAGAACATAACCCTAGTGAGATTCCGAAACGTTCTCAAAAGATTTGGTCATCTTTTGAAAGTCATTCGGCTTCAGAAATGCCACGAATTGTTCTCTGAGATGCTCCTCGCTCATGTTTCTTATCTGAAAGCTTTGACTAGCCTTGAAATAAGTGGAATGATATGGTCGAAAAAACTACTTAGAATGTTAAGATGCTCAAAATCCCTCAAGAATTTATTTTTGGAGGCCTCCTTAACATCAGAAGGACTGTTCAACCAAGATGATTTGCAGTACACAGTAGAAGATTTTCCACAAGTGAAAACCTTTGGCTTGCAATTTTCAGTTATCAAGGGTGATTCTGTAGCTACAGTTAAGGGTATCATGTCTTCCAAGTACAGTCACCACATAACTTGTCTTTTGCTAGAAAGGGTGAAAATGGAGTCTGCTGATCTGCATGATGTGGTGAAGAAATTAAAAGGACTGAGAAAATTTGGCTATGGCAATGATCAAATTTATGGTCTTCCATCTCGGCATCTTCTGCAGTTAAACTCTAAATCACTGCTGGAAGTTGAGCTTTTCCAAGTGGGGGATTTTGCAAAATTTCATCTAGTATTTCCATGCCTGAAAAAACTAACCATGAATGCATGCACATCTGTCAGTGAATTGAACATTGAGGCACCGGCATTAAGAACTCTGCATTTCTCACTATGTGTTGAAGTGCACAACTTCAGAGGAATTTCAGCCAGCTTCTTGCATGAGATGAAAGTCAGAAGATGCCATGCACTCACCCAAGCTGAACTTATTGGTCTTTTGATTAGAAATCCAGATGTCAAAGTGTTGGAGCTTGAGGTGTCTTGGCCAACTTTACGGCTTGACCATATTTCTACTCCATCACTCGAAAACATTACCATATATGACAATGGTGAACGTTTGACATCTGTTGATGTCCGTTGTCCTAAACTTCAACAGTTCATTATCAAGAAGTCAATGACAAGATCAACCATCTTGATAGCTGTGTCAATATTGTCAAACAGTGTCAAGAAGGTTGTACTTAATGATGTACCCTATCTCCGAAAAGTCAGCATTGATGCCGATACAGTCAAATATTTAGAAGTGAACTTTGAAAGAAGGCTAGACCATGTGAAACCAGCAGAATTCACAAGGCTGTATTTCAAGAATAAATCACATCCAGTGAAAATTGACCATTTGATTTTAAAGCAATGCAATCTCAATGCAATTCTCTTTACTAGTGGTAATGCACATCATATATCACTAGAATACTGCAACCTTGATTGCCCAATAGGTGAAATGATCCAGCAGTGTGGCTTGGTGGAGTCTCTGACTTTGAAGAATTGTTATGGCCCATGTCAACTCAATCTGAGTGGTGCACACCTAAGAGAGGTTCATGTTGTATCATGTACATCACTACTTATGGACCACATCAATTTATCATGTCCCTCTCTTGTGGCACTAAACGTCTCAGGACTGTCCTTTTTACCCAGTCAAGAAGAAGTTGACCTCATTACTGGTAATTTTAGAGAGATTTCTCCTTTTCTGGGATCTGTTAAATTTTCTCACTAATTCTATGCATTGTTAGCTTAACTTTGTGCCAAAGATTAGTTGTGGAATAGCGAGGAAGTAAGTTCTAAAATTAAAACTCAGTTTGACTGTGCTTAAGATTTTAATTTATTATCAATGGTATTTAATCATATGAAATATTCATTACAAGTAATCTTTTACATTTTATTTATGTCATGTTTCAAAAAATAGCATAATTAAAACCTTGGTATAAATTTCATTGTGTAAACTGTTATTCCAGAACCACTGAAAGTAAAGAAGGGCTAACGCTTGAAACGTCAGCTTTTATAATCATAACGGTGGCCAATTTACCATTTCAACTTTATTGATATATTGAAATTATTTCATTACCCCCACTGACGCAGCCCCAAACAGTTTCTTTAGAAACTATCAGCCTTTATTCATTGAAATTAAAGTTGTGAATCCAAAGTTGAATTGCCTTGTCTGGTGTAAGTTTAAGCTAGGATTGCCCTTCAATTGGTGTATTCTTTGATTTATTACCATGGATCTAGCTAGTCAGTCAATCATTTAGATAGTTTTTCAGGCAGTCATCTAGTTAGTCACCTAGACACTTTTTGCAGCTACTCCCTCCCACGTATCATTCAACAGATTGGACAGGAAATAGGGCACTGACAGAAGTCTAATGACACTAGCATCTGATTTTTGACTCTGCTGTCTTAATTTAGAAACTGGGGTCCCATTTTGGACACAAGTGTCAGATATTTGATATTACTGTCCAATTTTAGAGAATAGGATCTAATTTAAGACTCTAGTGTCTGATTTTGAGACACTAATGAGTGATTTTAGACGGTCAAGTTTATTATAGGTTTATTCAATATCATCAGTTCTGGCAATACAAGTATTTAAAAACGACTGATTTACAAGCATACTAAATAATAGTATGGTATTATAATAGTAAACTATAATAGTAAAGCTGGATTTTAGACAATTTTCTGATTTTAAAAACTAGTGGCCAGTTTTAGACGAGAGTGTCAAATTTGAGACACTAGTGTCCAATTTTAGATAGTATGGTCCAATTTCGGACAGTAGTGTCTGATTTCTCATTTCAGACACTAGTGTCCAATTTTAGACATGTGTCAATCAGATGTAACACATTACTGTCTGATTTCGATTGTAGAGTATCCTTTGATTTTGGACACCAGTGTTCCTTTCAAATTTTGTAAGAAAGTGTTTAAAACCTCTTGTTTCCTTTTCTGACAAAGTTTCACCTCTACATTCACCTGGAAAGCCCTACTGCTCCTCTGGCAAAACAAAATTCAAAATGGCTGCCAAGGAAGTCAACACTAGCTCGAGCCAAGCACGCAATTCATTGTAGGACCAAAAATTAATTCGCTACATTTTGAAAAAATAATTCATGATACCGTGAAAAATAATTCATGACACCGTGAAAAATATTCATGATACCGCGAAAAATAATTCTCAGCGCTAATGCCAAAAGTTATTTAAAATCTCACATGTAAAAATTATTCAAAATTCGGTGAAAAATTCGCGCCTTGAGTGAAAAAGGGATGCTGCCTCTTAAAAAAATTAATGACTTACCTAAAAACAATTCATCGGCTGCTAAATTTATTTGTAATACACCAAAAATATAGTGTAAGACCCATGAAAAGACGCACTTGTCCCTCAAATATTAAAATATGGGTTTGAAAAACTGACTTTGGGTCATTTTTATCATTTCAACTTTGACCAGAACGGGCCTCCACAAAAAAAGCGCACGCCCTTAATTTCCGCTGAAAGTCCTGTTACTTTTTTTTCAGTTTTTTTTTTTTAATAACTTTTAAAAGTTTTAAAAAATATGGGATGACGGTTGAGATCGGAAAATCTCATGTGGAGGATTTTTGTAAAGGTTTGATTTTGCTGATAGACAAGAACAAACAAAATTGCTCAAAGACCGGAAGATGATATGTAATGATTTTATAAGTACAACAAGTCCTTCGACTTGCAACCAGTCTCCAGTTTGGAAATGGAAAACATATTCGTAAGAGCATTTTAAAATCAATGTATGCATATTCTCCATACTGTTCTCTACACATTTTTTAAGGTGTTGACAAGGAGAATTTGTTTAATAATCAAGAGCTTGAACATCAAAGCGATCTTCGCAGTAATACAAAACACTACTTGAGCAGTAATGAATGCAAGGCCTGAAAAAAAAAAAATTCAGGCATGTGACGGGATTTGAACCCATGACCTCAGCAATATTACAATCGGCGACTAAACTTCATCGCTAAACTTCATCAAGAAACGGAAGGAGAGAAGGAGAAAACTCATTCGAGAGGAAGACTATTTCAAATTTCGGCCCACTAAACCGGCGCTTATTCTAGGAATTACAATATCCCTATCATGAAAGTTCTTTCTCTTTGGCCATCGTAGCTAGATAAGAAATAGCACACAAACTGCAGTTACAAACATGACAGTAAAACGCATCATTGGAAAATAAGATTAGTAAACTTGTTAAACTTGTTAAACTTGTCTCTACTGTAAGGATCGTGCATCATACGTAAACTTGTTATGTTAATTAGTTACTTATCTTAAATTTAAACTTAGTCGCCATGTGTAACTGTCACTTCTGAAGATGTATGTCGAAACATACGAAACGTCAAGTAAAGTTTACTAATCTTATTTTCCAACATGCGTTTTACTGTCATGTTTGTAACTGTAGTTTGTGTGCTATTTCTTATCAACCTACAATACCCTTGTTCCGCTGTGCGATACCTGCGGTCAGGTCCAGCAAAAAATATACCACTTTTCACTTGTGTCCGATTTTGGTATGCTTTGATTTGGACACCAGTGTCCCACTCTCCACGAAAGACACTAGTCTTTAGTTTAAGCCACCATTTTTTTGGTGATTTTGGACACCAGTGTCTGATTTTAGAAATTAGTGATTTTAAATCCTAGTGTCCGATTTTGGACATAATTGTATAGCTGGTAGTTAATCCGAAATTGTCAGCATAGCTTTTATTCTTTGATATTATTTTAAACTGTCCGATTAAGGGTTAATTTGGAGACCAGTGCCTGATATAAGACAAAATATTCCGATTTTTGACTCTCTTGTTCGATTCTAAAAACCAGTGTCCCTGGAGCGGATCCAGAATTTTGTCAAGGGGGGTTCGGAGAATTGTGCGAGGACATGCTCCCCCGTGAGATTTTTCGGAAACANCAAGACTAGGTTTACACTAGAGGAAATTGTTCCGGATTCGTGATGAATCCGAAACGTTTTAGTACCGGATTCATTCTGCCGTTTACACGAAAGTGGACGAATCCGAAATAAAAACTTCCCGGTTTGGTCGTGTCTCCGGAGATTTTGAATCCGGAATTTAAAGTGGGAACTTTGAATCCGATAACTTTTGAATCCGGAAAGTTTTGTCGTGTAACCGCTTTTTTTCTCGAATCCGGATATTATTTCCACCTGCAATCTTTTGAGTTTGCGGTGAAACCAAAATGGATCTGGTGCTAACATTGCTGGCGGTCTCCGGTTGCCTAATCTTGTTGCAGGTTCAGGCGATAAATTTTATCATGTGTACCGCAGTATTTCTGAAGAAACGCAAATTATTATTGCAAGGAAGTTTAACGTCAGCCACACTTAATCGCCGACGACGTAGACTGCTTGGCATCTGTCCAACTCAAATTTGCCTCAGTGGCATCTGGATCTACTCTAGCCTTTTTTGGGGGAGGCATTTTCACTTTGTCGATCGAACGACGAAACAACACTGGGCTTGGTAACCATTCCATTTCGAATGTTCCCGGAGTTGTCGTTGTGTGTAAACGGTCAGGAATCCGAATATCCTTTCAGTGTAAACGCCTACGAATCCGAATACTCCAAAATTGATGAATCCGGAAACATTTACGAATCCGGAAAACTCTCCTCTAGTGTAAACCTAGTCTGAGTAAGAGAGTTAAAGATTTGTCTCCAAAACAAGTAGTAACTTCTTCTGGTGTTGATCAAATAGCACTATTTGATAGGTGGGCTGAGAACAAATACTAGGTCGAAAAGAAGGATTTTATGGAGAGCGGCGAATATCAGAGAAGTCTTAAATGATTAAAGTAAAACCTTCTGACTCTCCGTAAAATATGTATTTGCTGTCAAATAAAAGTATAGCTTGCGGGTATCTTTTAAAAGAAAAATGAACATAAAAAATTATCGTAAGCCTTTGAATTTGTTCATTAGTCGTTAAAGCTCACTAAACTAATGCTTTCCTGTGTAAACTAATTTTTAATCATAAGTTTTTCAGAAAGGTGGACCTCTAAGTTGTTTTTGAAGAGAAAGCGTTTTGACGGACTCCATTATGAGTATTAGACTGAAAACATCTTTAGATAAGTTGCCACCTGAAAAATCCTTGAAAATCCATTGACTGATTCGTCACGCTCCAAAAGCGTTGTTTTTATGTTTCCAAGGTAACAATGAAAAGGGTTTC